CTTTCTTTCTCCCCAGGGTCACAGCAGTGTTTCTTTCTTTCTTTCTTTCTTTCTTTCTTTCTTGACGTTCTGCAGAAGAGATTTCTTTCTTTCTTTCTTTCTTTCTTTCTTTCTACCTCTGACAGTGAAGGAATTTCTTTCTTTCTTTCTTTCTTTCTTTCTTTCTTCCGGCTGCCATTTCAGAATTTCTTTCTTTCTTTCTTTCTTTCTTTCTTTCTTGAGGGAGGGAGATCTGTGTTTCTTTCTTTCTTTCTTTCTTTCTTTCTTTCTAAATCAAGTGCAAAGACACTTTCTTTCTTTCTTTCTTTCTTTCTTTCTTTCTAAGAAGGAAAGAAGCGTGCTTTCTTTCTTTCTTTCTTTCTTTCTTTCTTTCTAAGGAAGCTTGATTACACATTTCTTTCTTTCTTTCTTTCTTTCTTTCTTTCTGTTTATTTGTTTGTTTTGATTTCTTTCTTTCTTTCTTTCTTTCTTTCTTTCTAGTGGCACAATCTCAGCTCTTTCTTTCTTTCTTTCTTTCTTTCTTTCTTTCTCTCCTGCCTCAGCCTCCTGTTTCTTTCTTTCTTTCTTTCTTTCTTTCTTTCTCAGTCTAATTTTTATATTTTTTCTTTCTTTCTTTCTTTCTTTCTTTCTTTCTGCTGGTCTTGAACTCCTGATTTCTTTCTTTCTTTCTTTCTTTCTTTCTTTCTGTGCTGGGAGTACAGACGTTTTCTTTCTTTCTTTCTTTCTTTCTTTCTTTCTAGTTTTGTTTTGTTTTTGATTTCTTTCTTTCTTTCTTTCTTTCTTTCTTTCTGCAGTGGCGTGATCTCAGCTTTCTTTCTTTCTTTCTTTCTTTCTTTCTTTCTTTCACCTGCCTCAGCCTCCTTTCTTTCTTTCTTTCTTTCTTTCTTTCTTTCTGCCTGGCTAATTTTTGTATTTTCTTTCTTTCTTTCTTTCTTTCTTTCTTTCTGACTGGTCTCGAACTCCTGTTTCTTTCTTTCTTTCTTTCTTTCTTTCTTTCTAGTGCTGGGATTACAAGTGTTTCTTTCTTTCTTTCTTTCTTTCTTTCTTTCTCAAAGAGCACGTTGAGAAGTTTCTTTCTTTCTTTCTTTCTTTCTTTCTTTCTAGGGCTTGAGGCCTCAGAGTTTCTTTCTTTCTTTCTTTCTTTCTTTCTTTCTGCTATCAGTGGAGGCAGGGTTTCTTTCTTTCTTTCTTTCTTTCTTTCTTTCTGAGGGGAAGTGGAGATGGATTTCTTTCTTTCTTTCTTTCTTTCTTTCTTTCTGGAAGTGGCAGGACTCACTTTTCTTTCTTTCTTTCTTTCTTTCTTTCTTTCTAAGAGGTCGAAGAAAGCGCTTTCTTTCTTTCTTTCTTTCTTTCTTTCTTTCTCCTACTCCGGCCGAGTTCATTTCTTTCTTTCTTTCTTTCTTTCTTTCTTTCTGATGGCACCCCCTCCCTGTTTTCTTTCTTTCTTTCTTTCTTTCTTTCTTTCTGACATAGTGACTCAGAGAGTTTCTTTCTTTCTTTCTTTCTTTCTTTCTTTCTGCAGGAAGGGAGGTGAGAATTTCTTTCTTTCTTTCTTTCTTTCTTTCTTTCTCCACCATGTGCGGGAGGGATTTCTTTCTTTCTTTCTTTCTTTCTTTCTTTCTGGGTCTCTTTGTCCCTCCCTTTCTTTCTTTCTTTCTTTCTTTCTTTCTTTCTGATGACCGATCCATCCCTGTTTCTTTCTTTCTTTCTTTCTTTCTTTCTTTCTTGGGGCAAGCAGCTCCATTTTTCTTTCTTTCTTTCTTTCTTTCTTTCTTTCTGGCCACTCCAGAGCCTCCTTTTCTTTCTTTCTTTCTTTCTTTCTTTCTTTCTTGCGACTGGCCAGGGATGGTTTCTTTCTTTCTTTCTTTCTTTCTTTCTTTCTGAGTTCAAGACCAGCCTAGTTTCTTTCTTTCTTTCTTTCTTTCTTTCTTTCTTGCTTAAAAATAAGCTGGCTTTCTTTCTTTCTTTCTTTCTTTCTTTCTTTCTGGAGGCTGAAGCAGGAGGATTTCTTTCTTTCTTTCTTTCTTTCTTTCTTTCTGCTGTGATTGCACCACTGCTTTCTTTCTTTCTTTCTTTCTTTCTTTCTTTCTGCTAAAAAAGAAAACAAAATTTCTTTCTTTCTTTCTTTCTTTCTTTCTTTCTCACTTTGGGAGGCCGAGGTTTTCTTTCTTTCTTTCTTTCTTTCTTTCTTTCTAGACTGGCCAACATAGTGATTTCTTTCTTTCTTTCTTTCTTTCTTTCTTTCTCAGGCGTGGTGGTGCGCACTTTCTTTCTTTCTTTCTTTCTTTCTTTCTTTCTGAGAATTGCTTGGATCCGGTTTCTTTCTTTCTTTCTTTCTTTCTTTCTTTCTATTGCACTGCAGCTTGGGCTTTCTTTCTTTCTTTCTTTCTTTCTTTCTTTCTAAAAAAAAAAGGAGAAGTATTTCTTTCTTTCTTTCTTTCTTTCTTTCTTTCTCTCAACTCCAGGCTGCTCCTTTCTTTCTTTCTTTCTTTCTTTCTTT